TTTCCTGAAACAAAGTGGACTTGTTCTGAGTCTTGGGAACCTGAAAGTAAAATGAGAGGTTCATATGCTACAATTCTGGTTTTATTTGTTTGTTCTAACTTTGAATTTGCTTTAACTTTAAAAATGCTTTTAAAACTGGAGGGCCAGTGAATTACAGGGGCAGACAGATTAAGTTTTTATCAGTAAGTACAGGAAGAAGTAGGATGTAAATAAACATTAGTGACATACCAGTTTGCTGCTTCCCTGCCCTCTAACTTCTGTATTTAAACTGGAAGAGTTTCTCTGGAAGAAACACCCAATACATCTACTTTGTTTTTCAGCATTTATAGTCTGACATATGTCAGAAAAAATCATGAGGTTAATCACATTCTGAGCTCTTTCTATTATAACTTTTTTTAAGACTAATGAAAGGATTATAATTGGGTAAGAAGTATGGTTTATGAAAGCAGTTGTTCCCCTTGCTAATTTAATGTTGGGCTGCAACTTAGAACAATTATCATTGTTGATTTTCTCTTTTTATATTCCGTTTTCACTGTAACTTATATAACTGCAAAATAAACAAAAGTAGTTTGAGATCCATATCACATTAGCAGTGAAAAGGGAGGTAGTACTATGCTGCTTTCAGAATTTTTGAATTTTTCCACCTAAAATCTTAGAAGGTAGCAAGAAACATTTGTGATTAGAACAGTTGCATTTCTTTGGGTTAAATAATTTTTCTTTTTCCAAGAGAGAATGCACCCAGTAGACAGCTGGAATTAATGGATGGAGCTAGGAGAGGATAATGTTATCTTAGAGTGTCATCCAAGTTATAAAACTGGAGATGAAGGGTTTGGGAGAAAAAAAAGGATTATTTGCTAAAATTAAAGTTCTTCCTTATTTTGTGTAGCTGTGCTGCCCTGGAGGTCATAATGCAATAGGCTTGAATTAAAATCTGTTCTTATTAAAACTAAACTAAAATACACAGCTTTAAAAAGGAGACTGTGTCCTGACATTCCATATTGGGAATTAATAAATACATCTCTTCAAGAACCACAATTTTTTAGTTTTGGGTCTAGATCTCAGTGTGTCAAACCCTCATGTTCTGCTGAGCCTCAAGGTCCATTCGGTGCCTTATGAGCCCTGAAAAGGGCTGAAAGAAATGCATGTTTTTACCATGAGAAATCGGACATTTTGGCTTTTCAGCTGTATAGTACTTTGTACTTTAGTTTGAGCTACCTGCTTACAGACTTTCTTGCATCATGGTTGTGAATAGAACATGCACTGGTCTTGTGAGAAGTCCAACTACAGAAGGGATTTGCAGACCGCCTGTCAGACACATACTGGCTTTTATAGTTTGGGGTTTTTTTTCCTTTTTTCCTTTTTCCTTACTACTGTGTCATCACTGCAGCTTGTCCTGAAACCCCAACCTCAATTTGTCACCCTTAAAAGGAGGTGAAAATTAGCAATGAAAATACTGTCTACCTACTCCAAGGAATATTCTGGACAGTAGGCTTTAAAAGCAAGTTTTAAAAGCTTTAAATATTTTAAATATAATCGTGGAATAAAGAGAACCCCAAAACATTGCAGTACTGTAGAGACCTGGTTTTGTGAGTACTTTTTTAATACTTTGATTTCTAAGCATCTGCAAAAATAAAAGTTAACTTCTGTGGTTATTAGTTCAGTAAAATCAAACACCAATACATTTAATGATGGATTTGAGAGAAAATAGGAAATTTATTTGCAGCCTGTCAGTCAGAATGTGTCTTATACTGTGTGTAGATATATAGTTTTTCATTTTGGTTTTCAAGACTTGGAGCATTTAAATATTTTAGACATGTGAGGACAGAAACCTGTTTTCAGCTTTTGGAATTTATTTTTTGCTAGCTAGAAAAAGGTCTGCTTTTTTTTTTTTTTTTTTCACAGAGGGGTGTTTTGTGTTTTATAACTGCTAATCTCTGCCAAAACAGCAGCTCTTCTGTGAGTATCAGTAACTTGAAAGAAAAGACGTGTTCAGAGCACTGAATGAGGTACTTCTCAGTGTAAAGCTCCTGTTACACCACGCTGCCTACAGCTTCACAAAGAGGATTACATGAGTTCTGTTGTCTCCTAACCTTATGTGAAATCATTTTTTGTGTGTGTGCAAGACAGGTCTGGTAAAGGTGATTTTTAGCTTTAGCTTTTTTTTTTTTATTCTTTCGAAGTTTAGCTGGAACCTCTTTGTGCTCTCATTTCTGTTCCATTATTTCAGTTGCTTAGAGCAGCCACTTCTGCAGCTCTTGGGTTTCAGTCCATTATCCATGTGTTCTTGTGGCAGAAGCAAGAAAATCACCTTCATTCTCTGAAAGGAATTCTGCAGGTTGAGCCCCAAACCGCAATGAAGTAACTTCCCACGTAATTAGCTAGTGCAAAGTTGAGGGAAAGGCTAGCCCCTGAGGAACAAGTAGTAGTAGCTACCCGTATTTGTTACAGCAGTCATCTCATTCCTCCTTCCCATCCTGCTTGCCTCCTTCTCCCTGCACATTGCGTTCCTCTCTGTGCAGAGGCAGGACTGCAGAAAGCATGCATGACTTGCTAAGTGTTTAGCTCTGTGCTCTCCTGTTGAACTATTGCACTAGTAACCTAGTGGATGAGAAGTTCTTATGGGTGCCAAGGTGGGTGAGACCACAGTGAAAACAGCCTGGAGATCCATGAGAGCATCCCTGCCAAACAGCTTCCAAGAAAGAAGGAATAAAAAAAAAAAAAAATCCATGCTAGGATTCTGTTTTGTGGTACTGTCCTGGGCAGGTGGCAGTTGTGTTTTAGGAATAAGGAGGGTGCTTTTATATTTGTCACATTATTAAAAATGACTAATGCTATTCTTTTGCACTCAATTGTTATTTAAATGTCAAAGGTGGGGCAAGCAGTAGTGCTGTGACTGTCTAGGTAAGCCCCGGGAGACATTAAAGAAAATGGTAATTTGTAGCCAACTCCAAGTAAAGCACTCTGAGGCTTCGATGGCTGTGGGGTGTGTTACTGGTCTGTGTCCTTCAGCGCTTGCTGCAGTCACTACAGCCCTGGGGAGGTGTGTGGGGAAAGGTTCAGGGACAAGCGCTGCTGGGACAGGGCTCTTGTGGAGCTGGGAGAACTGCAAGACCCCAGACAACTTCTGTTGCTGATGAGGGAGGAGTATTTGACATTAATTTGTCCACTGGAAAAATAGAGAGAGCTGGAAGTTCCTTCAGTCCATTCCCTGAGGAACTGAGCCTTAACTTTTACATTTTTGCAGCTGTGGCAAGAGCACCAAGATGAGTGCTCTAGTGAGAGAAAACCCTCTCCTCTCTGGCTGCCTTCACCAAATCCCAGGCTAGGTATGCAAAATTGGTAAAAGCTCCTTGAAGGTGAGTGTGGGAGGCCTGTGGTGGAGAAGACCCTTTCATCATGAGTTCCATGCCAGGTTCTGTAGCAGCAACCACTGACCTTTCCTGCTGACTGAGATCATGGGAGCTGCTTGCACTGGTGCAGGCAAGGAGAGGGGCTAATGCATGCCTCTGACCACATGGGCAGTAGCTGATATTTGAGTTCTCCATATAGAAATGTCCGCTATCTTTTTCAGAGGATAGAAATAATCAAACATTCATGTTGTATATTCATTGCCTGTGGTGATTTCCTTTACGGTTTGTAAGGTGCAGGGCTGTACGAACTGGTATGCTACAAGTTAAAAATAATAAATCTGATGCATCTTTAAGATGCTTGATTTGATCCCCCAGTGCTCTGCTAAGCTGCTCTTCTCCCAACCAAAGAGAGCCAGACTCTGTGGTAATGTACATCCTTGACTCCTTCCCCACTCCATGTGTGCACACAAGCTGCATATTTTACTTTAGAAATGGCAAATTTGGGTCGCAAGTTCAGCAGTTAAGATGATGATTGTTCCACATCCTGCTTGCACAGGAAGCTTATTTTTTAAAAAGCTGATAAGTTGAGTCCTCTAGATTTTGTCAAAATAAAAAGCAAAGCAAGCTATTTAAAGTTGCAGAGGTTTGCATTCACACATGATCAGTTTACCACTTTGTCTCACAGTGCATAGTTCTGATTTAAAGTGAAAGCCTTGCAGCCTGCTCCTGTGCTACCTGGACTAACCAGCTCCAATAATCAGCAGGCTGTGATGATAATCTGAAAAAAATATTTTTTCCATTATGTTAAGAAAGAGTTGTGTGGGGTTTTTTTCTTGTTTATCTGGGTTGGATTTTTCTCAGGAAGGATTATTCATTAATTGGGGAAAAAAATTTATGCAGAACCATTTGGTCCAAGGAATAGGCGATAACTATTTCTCACTGTAAAACATCTAATCACATTAAAAAGATTTTGCCAAATATTCATGTAGTAACTACAACACTTTCACTTGTGCAGTGATACTTAAGGGAAAGGAGCCAATCAATCTGGTAAGCAATGTGTATGCTCAATAGAAAGGAGTGGGAGACATTGACTGTTATTGTGTTAGATGAAAAGAAGTGGGACACCTTGCTCATAATGCAACAAGAGACCTAAAATGTGCTGTGCAAGTCACAAGCAATGTGAAAAGCATTTAACAAATGCTGTGTTGTTTAAATGCAAGGTACTACAAAATAATGTTAGTGCTGGATTTCACATGTTTATGCTGAAGCAATCATTTTTACAGAATCAGATTTTGTGCAGTGTAAGCAACTGTTGCTATTTATGTTATTAATACTTAATCAGCTATGGCACTTTACCTTTTGGGTGTTTCAGCTGGCAGAGCAGACCTTGGTACTTGTGCTGTGAAGTGGCAAAGATACATAAATATCATCTGTCTTGAAGTGAGAAGACTTACGTTGTGATGCTAAAGTATCGTATCAGTACACATCCTTTGAAAAAAGTGTTGAGAGGAACAATGTGCGACAGGCAACAAAGCATAATGAAAACTGGAACCTTTTGAGGATCTGTGTGTCGTGGTGTGTTTGTCATTAAATGGTGAAATAACCTGCTCACTAGTCAACAATACTGATTTTGGTTTTGTTCTCTTGTAGGAATGTTTACCCTTGCAGAAGTTGCATCGCTCAATGACATCCAGCCAACTTACCGTATCTTGAAACCATGGTGGGATGTATTTATGGATTACCTAGCTGTTGTTATGTTAATGGTTGCCATTTTTGCTGGAACCATGCAGCTGACCAAAGACCAGGTGGTCTGCTTGCCAGTTTTGCAGTCTACTGTAAATTCAAAAGCACAACCCAGCACGTCAGGGAAGGCTGACTTTACCACTGTTGAAACAACCACTGGTCAAGGAGAAGCATCATCAATGAGAACGGTTTCCTTCGGAAGTGCTCCTACTGTAACACCTGACATACCTCTGAGCAGAGCTACCTCTTCTCAGTATCAACCCACTGAATCAGGCCAGGAGCTGAAGAAGGAGCAGAAAGATTCTTCAGGCCGTAAAACAAATTTGGATTTTCAGCAATACGTATTTATTAACCAGATGTGCTATCATTTGGCTCTTCCTTGGTATTCAAAGTATTTTCCTTATCTTGTTCTCATTCATACTATCATTTTAATAGTCAGTAGCAATTTTTGGTTTAAGTATCCCAAGACTTGTTCAAAAATTGAGCATTTTGTGTCTATATTAGGGAAGTGCTTTGAGTCCCCTTGGACTACAAAAGCATTGTCTGAAACAGCATGTGAGGACTCCGAGGAGAACAAACAGAGGTTAACTGGTGCCCAGTCCCTGCCCAAGTATGTTTCCACTAGCAGTGATGAAGGAAGCCCAAGTGCCAGCACTCCCATGATAACAAAGTCTGGCTTCAAATTTTCAGCTGACAAGCCGATGATTGAGGTCCCCAGCGTCACTATTTTAGATAAGAAAGACGGAGAACAAGCTAAAGCGCTGTTTGAGAAAGTCCGTAAGTTCCGGGCTCATGTGGAAGACAGTGATCTGATTTACAAGCTCTATGTTGGTCAGACTGTTATCAAGACTGTCAAGTTCATATTTATTCTCTGCTATACTGCAAACTTTGTCAACACCATTAGTTTTGAACACATCTGCAACCCGAAAGTGGAACACCTGATTGGCTACACACAGTTTGAATGTACACACAACATGGCTTACATGTTGAAGAAGTTGCTTATCAGCTATATTTCCCTAATTTGTGTCTATGGTTTTATCTGCCTCTACACACTTTTCTGGCTGTTTCGAATACCTTTAAAAGAATATTCCTTTGAAAAGGTCAGAGAAGAGAGTAGCTTCAGTGATATCCCTGATGTCAAAAATGATTTTGCATTTCTCTTGCATATGGTAGATCAGTACGACCAGCTGTATTCTAAGCGATTTGGTGTCTTTTTGTCAGAGGTAAGTGAGAACAAATTACGGGAAATTAGTTTAAACCATGAATGGACTTTTGAAAAGCTGCGGCAGCATGTTTCCCGCAATGCCCAGGACAAACAAGAGTTGCATCTCTTCATGCTGTCAGGGGTCCCCGATGCAGTGTTTGATCTGACAGATCTGGATGTGTTGAAACTGGAGCTGATTCCTGAAGCAAAAATCCCAGCAAAAATTTCCCAGATGACAAATCTTCAGGAGCTTCATCTGTGCCACTGCCCTGCGAAGGTCGAGCAGACTGCCTTCAGTTTCCTCCGGGACCACTTGAGATGCCTTTATGTGAAATTCACAGATGTTGCAGAAATTCCTGCGTGGGTGTATTTGCTCAAAAACCTCCGTGAATTGTACTTGATAGGCAACTTGAACTCCGAAAACAATAAAATGATAGGGCTTGAATCTCTCAGAGAGTTGAGACACCTTAAAATTCTCCACGTGAAGAGCAATTTGACCAAAATTCCCCCCAATATCACAGATGTGGCACCACATCTGACAAAACTAGTCATTCATAATGACGGCACTAAGCTTGTGGTACTCAATAGCCTTAAGAAAATGACTAATGTTGCGGAGTTGGAACTGCAGAACTGTGAACTGGAGAGAATTCCCCATGCCATCTTCAGCCTCTCTAACTTACAGGAACTGGATTTAAAATCAAATAGCATACGCACAATTGAAGAAATAATCAGTTTCCAGCACTTAAAAAGATTGACTTGTTTAAAGCTGTGGCACAATAAAATAGTCAACATTCCTTCCTCCATTACCCACATAAAGAATTTGGAGTCTCTTTATCTCTCCAATAACAAACTCGAATCCTTACCAGCCGCAGTGTTCAGTTTACAGAAACTTAGGTGTTTAGATGTAAGCTACAACTCAATTGCGTTGATTCCAGTGGAAATAGGTTTGCTTCAAAATCTGCAGCATTTTCACATCACAGGAAACAAAGTCGACATTTTGCCAAAACAGTTGTTTAAATGTGTTAAATTGAGGACTTTGAGTCTGGGACAAAACTGTATTACCTCAATCCCAGATAAAGTTAGTCAACTGTTGCAGCTGACTCATCTGGAACTGAAGGGAAACTGCTTGGACCGTCTGCCAGCCACGCTGGGGCAGTGTCAGCTTCTCAGGAAAAGCGGGCTGGTGGTGGAAGATCACCTCTTTGACGCTTTGCCCTCGGAGGTTAAAGAGGTGTTGAATCAAGACACAAGCATTCCTTTTGCTAATGGGATTTAGGCTGAGGTGAAATGCTCTGGTAGCTGACTTCCAAACAGCAAATGCTAAAAAGTATGGCAATTGTGAGACCATGCATTTTGGAAAGCAGAATTCCTTGGAAGGCAGGACTACTAGCAGGATTGGAAAGAGGTGTAATCGAGTGTTCAATGTTTGAAGTGTTTTAAAAGATTATTTCCAAAATTTTTGAGAGGATAAAGAACCTTAATAATCTCAATTCTTTTTTCCTTAAATTGTTTGTAACTTGGATGCTACCGCTTTTGAATGTTTACAAATTTGCTTGCCTGCTTAAAGTAAATGATTAAATTGATGACCTTTTCTTACTATGCAAGTTATTCCTTAAGGTCTGGATTTACTTTAGTGCATTATGGGGGGGAAAACCAAGGATAAATGTTATTTACAGTATGGTTCTAACAGCACTTGAAACACATGTTGATGTGTGTTGTTAGCATTTAGCCATCCTCAGCAAATGAAACCAGTTTGGCTGTGCTTTGAACTGCACCAGAACCACCTTTTCATGCATTAAGGTATGTGGTTTGCATCAGGCCAAGTGTGTTTACCTTCTTCATCCTCAAGGCCTCGTGTTGTTAGGAGAGATTTCTTCTGTGGTCCAGTGTACTACTCCTTCACACCGGCAGACTGGTCACATTCCTGCAGCTGGTCTCCCCCTCAGCTTCCATAATGCTTCTCTGTCCCATGCAACTGTGGGTGGTAAAAGGGAGAATACTGCCACTTGGCTTTCAAGTTGGGGATAGTTTTGGTATTTGAACTGTTTTGCAAGGTGACTTTGGAAGCCATTAAACACCAAGTGACTTTACCGCTCATGTTTTGCTCCTCTTCTGAGTTTTTATCTGGGAAACTCAAGGCATTTTATGAATTGGTGATTGCTTTGTTTCACAGCCCTTGCTTAGGAAGTGGGGTGTATGCTCCATTCACTAGACTAATGACAGAGGCATAAGAGTTACAATTTACCCAAACTCGATTTAACTTTATTGCCTATTGTGGTGTGTCTTCCACACCTGGACTTAAACCATAGGACCACCCTTCTCCCCAACCCCAGTCTAAGTAATTTGATGTTTTGAACACTTACACACTGTTAGAAAACCTTAACTTTGTGCCAGATAAGTCAACAAATAAAAAAGCAGACAGCAGTGAGCGTGGGACTTTTTTTTGTTGCTTTTTTGGTGGTGTTTTTTTAACTGAGTTTGCATTGCCAGAACCATTAAAGAAATATAATCCATTAAATCTGCAAAATCATCAGTTGTAAATCTTGGCCATTTACATTCCATGTGTGCAGAAAAGAAGTACTATGCTGGGAGATGATTACATGATTACTCATGGTTTAAACACAATTCCCTATTGTAGTGCGGTCAGGACTGAACTAGTCTGTAGTTCAAGGGACTGTTCTTCTCACACAGAAATCCTCATGCACAGCGATTTCTACTGTAACTTCACCAGAGCTGCCCTGACTTACACCACTATTAACGAGGGGATAGTTTAGACCTAGGGGCATTGAGCAGTCAGGAACACTTCAAATACTGCTCTTACAAATCTTGCACATTTTATTGTTAATCATTTACTGTTAGTCATGCTGGGAGGACTGTTCTCAGCTGTAGGTAGCAGTCTCTGAATACATACCTACAACATATGTTTATGTATATCAGAAGACCAGTTAATGAATAGTGGTTTTCCTACTTCTTCTGGGGATACAGTCTGTTTTCCACTTGACAGCAGGTAATAAACTTGGGATGTTGACAGTTCTGCAACACCAAGTCACAGGTTTGGCAGAATACTTGCAGTTACTGGTCTGTCCTCCACTGGGAAATTTAGTGCTAATCCTCAGAATTTTTTTAAAGTAGAAGGCTGCAGTGGATTTATTTTTTTTTTAAGAAACTCTTTCATGTGTTTATTTTTTGCACATAGATCACTTTAAAATTGCTGGACTATTGACTCTTTAGAAAAACTGTGGACTATACTCTTGGTGTATGCTTTGTATTTGCTGTTGAGTGTCATTTCAGCTTCCAAGAAACTGTGCGTAGGAGGGAGGAAGAGTTGTGGAGGATGACCAAGTAATTAAAATGTTTAGAAAAATCTTCTTTTATTTTAATAGCAAAGTCGCACAGAATGCGGCCATGGATTGATCCGGCTTTTCAAACCTTCTTTTGGTGTTTCCAATTCTCCTACTGTCCCTACTGATGTTCAGAAATAAACCCATGTCCACTTTATATGAGTATGGTATACATAATTTAGGCCACTGTTTTGACTAGTTATTAGCTAAGTGTACTTCTTTAGATAACTTCCTACAAAATAAGTATATGTTAAAGTTAATTTCAGGCTTGTGATGCTTGCTCAGCATAAACTCCATTCTTGTTTTTAGGAGAGCTTCTCAGAGTGGGGAAGAACTGTCCGCCGTCCCCATGTTGCCTCCCCCCAGTCCTTCCTCCTCTTTGTGACTGTTTCTAATGTTTCTATTTCCTGCGTATCAACTGACACAGTCTTGCTTTAAAGTCTTGGAAGTTCATCTCTTTTCAAAATGTAAGGCATGTGAAATATATTTTGCGTTTCTATTTGATTTAATAAATAAGATGTTTATATCTTCCTCTAATCTATTTTTTTTAATGGGGGAAAAGTGTGTTTTCATAGTAAAATCTCTGATTTCAAGTATCTCATGTTGAACTTGTTCTGCGGTGCCTGTAATCTAAGAAGGAAAAGGTGTGAGTTGCTGCTCCAAATAAATCCTGTAGGTATGGTTTCTAACTAGAATACAGTACTTGAGGATAGGTTTTTTTTCTTATACATAATCTAAATGACCTACCACTGTTTTTATTTGTCTAATGGAGCTTTGCAGAATATATCTATGGCCCCGGAAGAGAAATTACTGTGTTCATTCAGATGAGAGGAAATAGGAAATTGCCCATTCTGTTCCTGCCACTGTGAATACAGTTCTGTGAAGATCCTTTAGTTTTTCAATAAATTGTCCTTTTGGAAGATGCTTCCCATGATGCAAACAGAGCTATGGCTGTCCTGAGTAGGCATCATGCCTCTTGATGTAAGGGAGGATGCTGACACTTGTGAAAGGCTCTCTGCTGCTAAATAAATGGCTTTGCAGTCCTGAGCTGCCCTCTCTGTAGCAAAGGGGGAAGCCCGGACACTGTAAGCCATGTCTGGTTATTGGAAATCTGCTTTGTAGACTGTATTTTTAATAAAAGTCTTACTGATGTAGCTGTTCTGTATATTGTGTTTCCATGGATGCGCACATAAATTAGTGGCTATATGAAGGCAATGGGATAGACTGTGATACCTTTACTTAAAGTCAAGTTAAACGAATTGAGGTGCCTCTACAGCTGTGGTGTTGACCATCATTCTGATTTCTTGCAGGAAGAAATTTTGGCTTTCAGACTTCTTGATTCTCAAAACAGGGAGCTATGCAGGGACCTGACAGTCCTGAGTGTAACTCTTCTGCCGCTTGTTGTGCACATGAAAAATGAGACTTCTTTTGGGTCTGTGGGATATAAACCCATGAGGGTGCTAAAGATGAGAGCAAAAGCCTTGAATTTGCATAGGCATCCCAGTGTTCATGGCAGAGCCATAGGGCACAGTGGCAGTGGGCTGAGGGTAGCTTATCTGGGCTGCTCTCACCCAGTGTGATGGGATTATTGCCTGTGCAACAACTGGCCTTGAAGATAACATGGAGCACGGCACTGCTCTTCAGTCCAAAGCAACGATGAACACTAAACCCATGACTTGAGACCTACTTTTTGGTTTTGGCACACCCTTCTCTTTACTTGGAGAAGGACATTAAAAAGATTTCAATTTCCTGTCTGTAAACTCAGGATTCTTTAATAGAGGTAAAATGCATGAATGATTGTGAGAAACACAAATCCTGTAGAAATGAGATCATGTAGAAAGATTCAAAAGGAACAGGCAGTCTCATCATTAGCTGCATGGCAGAGCCCTATCAATGCGTTTCTAATGTGTGATCCCAGAACAACTTGATTTAGACAGAAAACTGTCAGAGGCAGGAATAGAAGATATCTCAAGCTGGTTTTATGCCTGCCACCCTGCCTCTTGCCATCCTGCTTTGCAAGATGTAGGCATGGGTTAGTGATGGAGATTCCAACCTCTCAAGGCAAGCTCTTTCCTTAATAATCTTCCCCACTGGAGAAACACAGCTACAACCTTAGCCAGGAGGCAACTGCTGATGTTCTGTTTAGGCCAAATCAAATGATTAGAAATGTATTAATCTACTTGCTTGCAGAAGTACAGATGGAAACGGGTTTCTGTGTGGACGCGTTGTGTCCCAAGCACCCTGGGAGGACTGAAGTTTGGGATTCTCTTAAAAAGAGCTTTGAGACAGTTAGCATCGGTTTAGTTACAGATATGGTTCAAAAAGTTGCATTCTGCAATGATGGCAAGGCCATCTGCAACCATTTTTCACCTTCTCTTATAATTGAGGTGGCTACCAACAGCATCCATATTTGAGCCTGGATACAACTGAGAGCCGAAGAGAGGTTATTTTGGATCACACCAAATGTGTCTGCAATCAATTTGTGGTCCTTTGCATTTACTTTTTCCTGTTTTGGTAATAGATATGACAACAGCCGCTGGTTAGTCTGCAAAGCCAATAAAGAAGATTGCAAAGGCTGTTGTAAGAGCCAAATTACTAATTGCGGTAGCCAATTCGTTCATTATTGCCTCTGAATCAATAGTATTTAAAACGCCCAATCCTGACCCCAGAACACCAGTTAGGTTTCTCTGTCTCATGTGAAGAGTTTGTCTTTGCAGCCAGGTTGTCCATCCCTCATAAGAAGCCTTTAGGAAAGGTGAACAAGCTGGCCGTATTTCCAAAGCATTATTTTGCATCAGCAATTCAACTCGTTTGAGAGACCGTGCTCAGTTAAACAACATTCGTTGTTGATCCATATTTCTGGTTACATACAGTCCAATTCCACTGGTGCAATGTACTTTTGGCTGGTCTGCCTCATCTTAGGCTGGTGGTTGACATCCTTGCCCTTGCAAAGCTGCATAAAGCATGGGTGATCTGTTTGTTCAGATAGGCGTTTTGTGAAGGCATTTAAATAGAATGTTTCTCAAGCAAGCTTACTGTAGGAATATGTAAGGTGATCCTTAAGATTACCAGCACTGAATTGAGATAAATTCTGTAGTGTTTGTAATCTTGGCATTAACCCCTTGCCTCCCACTGTGAATTGATAAAATTTGCTGCATGAACTACTGATGAGCTTACAGGGGTCCCCAAATGATAGGCAATTTTAGCACTACAGAAGAGTTACAGTTCAGGCTGCCCACTTGTGCTTGTGCAGTGTGTTCAGCACTTAAATTAAAGGCATCAAACACTGATGTTTCAAAACCCTGTGGGCTTATGCTGTGACCAGTTTCCCAGGACAGCAAATCATTCCCCATGCTGCTAAAGGGAGGGAAAGCTGTGTTACTGACAACAGTTGTTCTGTAGCAAAGATGAGGCTTTAGAATTAAGCACAGAAACAGATTTTCCAAGCTGATTACAAACATGCACCCATTCCATGATAAAAGTCATGAGCGATGTCGTTTCTGGCAGAGAGATGCTGAAAATAGTTCCTGTAACTCAGCCAGGCATGGGTGCAGAAGTGGCAGCTCTTTAACACTGCACATCAACACAATACAACTCAAGTGAGGAACTTTAAAACCACACGCACTGGAGTTTGGCCAGGCTGCATCTCTCTCCCTTCCCTGAAGAGAACAGCCCCTAAGCCCTTTTGCAATTACTACAGTCAGGACCTTTGTTCTGTCTTGCCTCCAACAGCACGTTGCCCCTTGATGCTGGAGGTAATGTAGGGTTATTGGTTTAATAATGACTGTTTGGGAAGAATGCCATCTTCTAAATTAACACCACAGTTGCTTGCAGGAAGTCTTCCAGCACAGAGCAGGTCTGTTCCCATAAAATGAACATGTTGTGCCCATAAACAACAAAATCTTGAGTTGAGACTGGGTTGCATAGACCATTAGGAATAAATGCATGAACACGTTGCTGTTCTGCTAACCTGTTCTGGGTAGTTTTGCTGCTTCAGGTGGTTTGTAAAAGTGGATTTTAAGACCTTTTCCCTAATGCCATCCTGCAGTGTCTCTGGAGCCAATGTTGTTGGCCTGGAGCAGGCTAGCTCACCCCAGAGGGTGTTGCTGGAGCTGCCCCACAGAGCTGGGGTGGGAGAAAGCCTGGGTGCGTTGCTGCGGCCAGCACCCCATGGAGGCTCCCCTCTGCTGAGGCAGCCAGGTTTATCTCACTCCTACTGAGGTGTCATCTACAGGAGATGCCACAAGAGATTGTGTCCTTAGCTACAAAATAAAGGGAATGCTGTTGAATGAGACCTGTTGCCAAGCGATGTGTCTGAAAGATGGGGATCATTATAATAGGGGGAGATGCAGAATAAGGGGAAGAAGGAATAAATAGTCCTAAGGGGGGGTAGAGCCCCCACCCCCAGTTGAAAATTTCAGTTTTAGGAAGACTCTAAAATCTGGAGTGAAAGTTACAACTGCTCCTACTAGAGCCAAGCTCAAACCTACAGGGCACCCTTTGACTCTTAGCTTTTTTTTTTTTTTTTTATTCTGTCCCCCCTGTTTCTTAGGCAGGGCCTTAGGGTACCTGCAGTCTTGCTGCTTGTGTGCTCTCCTGCTCCCATGCAAGCATTGCGATAAGCTCATCCCTGCAGAGCCGTTAATGCTTATCCCAGTGTGGCCATACCCGGGGCTGTTCCTGGCTGCATGCTTGGCAGTGCTCTGCAGGGAAACCCTATGCGCTATCGAGGGCCAGAGTCTAATCTTGGAGCTGCAGCTTCCCCTTGTGAAGGAATTCTCACTCCTCCGGCTAACGTGATAAGCTGAGTGGGGCAGAGCCCTGCCAGCACAGGGTGGCTGAAGCTCCCTCCTGGGTCCCAGTCTCCTGCTCCAGGGCCACTGCATGGAAGTGCTGCAGAGCAGCTGGTGCTGGGGCTAGTGGGGTTCTGTCCACCTCCAGCTCTCACACAGCCTTGGGAGAACTGTGCTCTTCCTGCAGCCCTCTGAGGAAAGGGTTTCCATAACATCCTTAAGTTGCAATTTCCATAGGCATCCCCAGGGCTCCTGCTGTTGTGTATCCTAACAGCCTCTCCTATCTTTGTTGGAAATGGAGTTGTGTGTTTCCTACCCTGTTCATGAAGGATGCAGAGAGCACCTAATGATTGTCACAGCACCCTCTGTAGTGAGTGCTTTTTCATAACCCCTTCGATTTTTTTTCTCTGCCCTAAGTTAAACCCTTTCCTTTCAGCCTTTCTTCATATGTTGTTTGGGTGTGTTTTGTTTTGTAACTCCTGTTGCTCTTTCCTCAATCCTTTCAGTTTATTGAGTTTGGTAAAAGTAGTGGTGTCTGTAACGGCCTGTGGGACCTGGGCTGAGGCCCCCCAGTGTAGAGTTGCTGACCCTGAGGACACAGAGCTGGGACCAGATTCTCCAGGAGCAACAGTGTGACACTGTGCATCTGGGTTGCCCAACCCTCCTGCTTACCCCTCCTGAGCAGATGGCTCTGCAGAAAGCCTGACTGCACCAACTTCCTGGTGTCCTCTAGAAAAA